GCTTTGGGGAGAAAAAGGAAAAATAAAAAAAAAAATCTTTAAAAAAGAAAAAAAAAAAGAAAGGAGTGAACAGTTTGTAGACTCTGTTTAAAAATCAGAGTGAAAAACAATACTGATGGGGCCCAGGATGACAATCTGGCAGCCCCTGACTGCAAGCAGGACCTGAGTTAGGTGTGGTGGGGAGTAAGGGGCGGTACTCACATGGGGTGGGAAGAGGAGGCACTGGAGAATCACACACTGCACAGAAGACAAAATTCTGAGAAGGCGAACCGGTGCTCTGCTTTCGTGGGCTTCTTTATGAAACAAAGTGTGTCAAGATTGTGATAAAAGACAAACAAGTGAAATACCTTATACATTATAGTGGTTGGAATAAAAACTGGGATGAGTGTGTTCCAGAAAGCAGAGTACTCAAATACATGAAAACCAATCTGCAGAAACAGAGCTTCAAGAAACCAATCAGGAGAATATTCAGTGGGGAAGATGAGAGGGGCTGCCCCAGGAAAGAAGATATCTGATCTGCAAGAGAAAAATGTTGGAGTCACTCAGAAATGGAAATGGGGCAGTCCTAGTGAGACGCCTCGGCCTCCCCAGAAAGAAAGGGCCCAAGTGGACTGAGCTGTTGGAAACGCTCATGAACAGAGTTAAGTTAAACTTCAACTCCTAAAGATTCTTAAAGAACTAAAATGATGGTTTGTTGATGACTGAGGCTTAAATACCAGACAAAACCAGCTCTTTATCTTCCTGACAAGAAGAATGTGGATTCCATTGTAGAGGATTATGCAAATTACAAGAAATCTTGAGGAAACACAGATAATTAGGTAATAATAATGCTGTTAATGAAGTTATGTTGAGAATAAAAGTATACTGGCATGTAATGTTGGGCACTCAGCTACTCTACAAATTTGAAAGACCCAGTATGCTGAAATTCTCAAAGATTACCCCAAGGCATCTTTGTCCCAGGTGGAATAGAGCGCCAGCCACTTCTACTGAGATTTGGCGTGATGTTGGTCTATACTCCTCTAGATGAGACAAGTCCTATTTTATTTATGACTGAACTATCATCACAATTTCCTGGCAAAGAATTCTACAACTTTATTTAGTGCCAGCAGAAGTGGCTCCTCCTAAGAGGAGGTATAATTTAAAGTAAATTAAGTGCACAGATCTTAAGAGACACTTCACTGAATTTGGCAAGTGCATGCACCCATGTAATCACCAGCCCAATCAAGAAGAAAACATTTCCTTCACTCTTGAAAATTTCCTTGCGTTCCTTTCCAGTCAATTCAGCAATCTGCCAAACCCCTTTCTCCAACAGTGCCAGCCTCTATAATGATTTTTATTCAGCAAAGCTTATTTTCACTGTTCTGGAACTGCACATAAATGGTCGTACTACTGTACTCTTGTATATCTGGCTTCTTTTGTTCAACATAAAATTTTTGAAACATTTACAATATTGCATGTTCAAGAGTTGTTTCTTTTTTATTTCTGAGTAGTATTATACTGTATGAATATACCACAAATTTTTTCATTGTCCTATTGATACACATTTGGCTTGTTTCCAGTTTTTGGCTATTGTGAATAAAGCTACTATGAACATTCTTGTACAAGTCTTTTTGTGGACTGACGTTTTTTGTGGACAGACGTTTTAATTTCCTTTGGGAAAATGCCTAGGAGTGAAATTATTAGGCATCTAATATTCAAAGAGCGGCCAGCCCTGTGGTCGAGTGGTTAAAGCTCTGTGCACTGCCCTTTGGCGGCCCGGGGTTCGCGGGTTCAGATCGCAGGTGTGGACCTACTCCATTCATCAGCCATGCTGTGGAGACATCTCACATACAAAGTAGAGGAAGATTGGCACAGATGTTAGCTCAGGGCTAACCTTCCTCAAGCAAAAAAAGAGGAGGACTGGCAATGGATGTTAGCTGAGGGTGAATCTTCCTCACACACACACACACACACAAAACATTCAAAGAAACTACCAAATGTTTTTTAAGTGGATATACCAATTTATATTCCTATTATTAATATGTGAGGGTTCCAAAGGCTTCCTATTGTCATCAACATTTAGCATTCTAGATCTTAAAGTTTAGCCATTCTAGTGGGTGTGCAGTTTTCTCATTGCAAATTTAATTTGCATTCATCTCGTGATGAATGACATTGAGCAGCTTTTCATAGATTTATTGGCCATTGGGTGTATATATTATGATTATTCTTTTCCAGTCTATGTCTTGCCTTTTTATTTTGTTTCTACTGCTTTTTGAGTAGTACTGCTTTACAGCCAAAAGCTTGTGATCTTGTTGAAGTTCATTTTATCAATTTTCTTAAGGTTAGTGTTTCCTGTGTCCTAAAAAATATTTGCCTACTTCAAAGTCACAGAGATAATCTTCTATGTTTTCTTTTAGAAGCTTTATAGTTTCACTTTACATTTAATATTAAGATCTCTTTTGAATTAACTTTTGTTTAGGATATAAGGTAGGAGTCAAGGTTAATTTTTTTTCACATTGTGATCCTGTTGTTCAACACCATTTGTTGAAAAGAGTTTTCTTTTTCCATTGAATTGCATTGATACCAATGCTATGTTTCTAAATTTTAAAATTCAGTTCCTCAATTGCACTAGCCACATTTTAAGAACTCAAGAGCTACAGGTGACTTCTGGTGACCGTATCAGTCAGCACAGATACAAAATGTTTGCAACATTGAGAGAGCTCTGTGACCGCACTACTCTAGACCTTAGGGCACAGTGTATACTACATATTTTGAATTCTGTGAAGGGTAATCTAAGCCAAGTAACAAAGTAAGGGCAGATATAAGGAAACTAAAAATCAATCACTGAGCTTATATGAAACACCCAGAGTAGTCAAATTCAAAGAAACAGAAAGTAGAATGGTGGTTACCAGGGGTTTTGGGGCAGGGGAAAGGAGAGTTATTGTGAATGGGTACAACATTTCAGTTTTGCAAGATAAAAAGAGTTTTGGAGATGGATGATGGTGATGGTTGCAAAAAATGTGAACGTATTTAATCCCAAAGGAATATACACTTTAAAGTCATTAAAATGGTAACTTTTATGGTATATATATTTTACCAATATAAAACATTTTTTAAATTTCTTTTTCCCCAGCTGGTGTTTAGTTCAGGTGAGAAAGCAATTGCTATTACTAGTGACTTAATTCTCTGTGGTGTATGTGAGGGAGACCAACAGAGGTGCAGAGGAGACACAGGAGTCCAGAGCCCGACTTAGTTTAAGGTCTCTATCTTAGGGTTTTTACAATAGACGTCTTCAGCTAATAGGAAAAGAGAGAAAAACAATTTGACTGAGAGTTATTCTATTATCAGTTATCCACCTATTTGTGTAATATTAAAGATGTCATTCATTAAGTTATGGTAACCATGGCAAACTAGTAGCAGGAGCAGTCTGGTTTTTAAATAAAAGTTCTCTATTTTTTTACTTAATCTCTAAGCACTTGATTTTTTTTTTTTAAGATTTTATTTTTTCCTTTTTCTCCCCAACGCCCCCCGGTACATAGTTGTGTATTCTTCGTTGTGGGTTCTTCTAGTTGTGGCATGTGGGACGCTGCCTCAGCGTGGTCTGATGAGCAGTGCCATGCCCGCGCCCAGGATTCGAACCAACGAAACACTGGGCTGCCTGCAGCAGAGCGCACGAACCTAACCACTCGGCCACGGGGCCAGCCCCTCTAAGCACTTGATTTTGACGATTTAACTAACAGACAATGTTGATCAATATCTATCAAAAACATTTATAAAACATAGATTGTACTATATTAATTCAAGAAACATCACGGCATGTATGAATACCAAGCTCTGAGGATCTTGTGTTTTTGTATGATACAAGGTTTATTTGTTTAAATATTTTCATTTAAAACTCTCATTAAAACACCTTAATAAAAACAATTTCAGAATCTTCAACTGATTTGTGGCAAGGAAGTGAAAGGTGCAACTTGAAAACACTCACATAAAGAGCTTATGAAAATAATCTTGCTCCCCAGGAAATGAAGTGTCCATCTGGTGAGAGGCCAACCCACCTATTTATAAGCCTGATTTGCATTTGACGCCATCTATAAACGCTGTTCTCTAGGACCTCATCTTTGTCAAAGACATCCTAATGAATCTATGGATATAGTTTAGTATTGAAAATATTGCAATACCCTTCAGAACCTTTCAAAGGAAGCAACATTAAGAGCTGGAGCTTTTCTTTGCAGAAATTGCTCATGGTTTCAAATTAGGAGGTGTCTCATTTTTCAGAAACTCCAAAAGAAAAGCTAGCAATGACTGAATATATTCTAGGTACGGCGTAAGTAATTAATTATTGTTCTAATCAACACATAATTATTAAAGCGTCCTACGTCCTGCTCAAATTATTCCATCCTCACAAAATCCTATGAATACCATCATCTCCATTTTACAAAGAGGGAAAAGCTCTCAGAGAGAAGTCACACAATGAATGAATCCTAAAACGGGGCTTCTACTCTGGACTCCAAACCCGGTGCTCTAAATCATCAAATTGAAGAGCATTAACGCTTTTTAATCGTTAGCTAAAGCAGGCCGCCCCAAGAAGCCTCGCGATATTACTCAAACTACTACTCCCGACATGCAAAGCGGCTTCGGTCCGTCAGCCTATGCCCGTGAGTCTGGAGGGCACCGGCATGCCTCGAGGCGCGAAAGGCAAGCTGGGAGCCGTAGTTCTCCGGGGCGCCTACCGGTATTGCCAGCGCGGCAGTGGCGGCTCTCTCGGTTTCAGCTAGCGGATCTTGCGAGGGCGAGCTGAGGCGGAGAAAGGGCGCGGAACTGGAACAGGGTGAGTCAGGCACTGTCTACGCGATAAAGGGAAGCAGCACCGCGGCGAAGGGCGGAGTTGAGTAATTGCGGCCCCTGCTACCGTCTGTTCAGGCAGACCGCGATCTTAGCGCCAGCCAGAGGAGGGTGAGGAGGAGCCCAAGCCCGGTCCTTGCACCCGTTCTCGCCGTCGGCACCCCGCCGCCATCTCCACCATGCAGTCCCGGGAAGAAGCTCCGCGTTCTCGCCGCCTCGCCAGTCCCCGCGGTGGGAGGCGGCCCAAGAGGATTTCCAAGCCCTCGGTTTCGGCTTTTTTCACGGGCCCGGAGGAGCTGAAGGACGCAGCCCATTCTGCAGCCCTGCTGGCACAGCTCAAGTCCTTCTACGACGCGCGGCTGCTGTGTGATGTGACCATCGAGGTGGTGACACCTGGCAGCGGGCCTGGCACGGGCCGCCTTTTTTCCTGCAACCGCAACGTGCTGGCTGCCGCCTGTCCCTACTTCAAGAGCATGTTCACTGGCGGCATGTACGAGAGCCAGCAGGCGAGCATAACCATGCACGATGTGGATGCCGAGTCCTTCGAGGTCTTGGTCGACTACTGCTACACGGGCCGCGTTTCTCTCAGCGAGGCCAACGTGCAGCGCCTTTACGCGGCCTCCGACATGTTACAGCTGGAATATGTGCGGGAAGCCTGTGCTTCCTTCCTAGCCCGCCGCCTAGATCTGGCCAACTGCACCGCCATCCTCAAGTTTGCGGATGCCTTCGACCATCACAAGCTGCGGTCACAGGCCCAGTCCTTTATAGCTCACAACTTCAAGCAGCTCAGCCGGATGGGTTCGATTCGGGAGGAGAGTCTGGCAGATCTGACCTTGGCCCAGCTGCTGGCTGTCCTGCGCCTGGATAGTCTAGACATCGAAAGTGAGCGGACAGTGTGTCATGTGGCCGTACAGTGGTTGGAGGCGGCTCCCAAGGAGCGGGGTCCCAGTGCTGCAGAAGTGTTCAAGTGTGTCCGCTGGACACATTTCACTGATGAAGATCAAGATTACCTGAAAGGGCTGTTGACCAAACCCATTGTGAAGAAGTACTGTCTGGACCTTATTGAAGCGGCCCTGCAGATGCGATACGGTGACATGTTGTACAAGTCTCTGGTGCCAAAGCCAGAGAGCAGCAGCGGCTCTGTTGTGTCCACAGCAGAAAATCCACCCCAGAGGCTGGGCGTGTGTGCCAAGGAGATGGTGATCTTCTTTGGACATCCCCGAGATCCCTTTCTGTGCTATGACCCATACTCGGGGGACATTTACACAATGCCATCACCATTGACCAGCTTGGCTCACACTAAGACTGTCACCTCCTCAGCTGTCTGTGTCTCTCCAGACCATGACATCTATCTAGCTGCCCAGCCCAGGAAGGACCTCTGGGTGTATAAGCCAGCCCAGAATAGTTGGCAGCAACTTGCGGACCGCTTGCTCTGCCGTGAGGGCATGGATGTGGCATACCTCAATGGCTACATTTACATTTTGGGTGGGCGAGACCCTGTTACAGGAGTTAAATTGAAGGAAGTGGAATGCTACAGCGTTCAGAGGAACCAGTGGGCACTGGTGGCTCCGGTACCCCATTCCTTCTATTCCTTTGAACTAATAGTGGTTCAGAACTATCTTTATGCTGTGAACAGTAAACGCATGCTATGCTATGATCCTAGCCACAATATGTGGCTGAACTGTGCATCTCTTAAACGAAGCGACTTTCAGGAAGCCTGTGTGTTCAATGATGAGATCTATTGTATCTGTGACATCCCGGTCATGAAGGTCTATAACCCAGCCAGGGGAGAATGGAGGCGGATTAGTAACATTCCCTTGGACTCAGAGACCCATAACTACCAGATTGTCAATCACGGCCAAAAATTGCTCCTCATCACTTCTACCACCCCACAATGGAAAAAAAACCGGGTGACTGTGTATGAATATGATACTAGGGAAGACCAGTGGATTAATATAGGTACCATGTTAGGTCTTTTGCAGTTTGACTCTGGCTTTATTTGCCTCTGTGCTCGTGTTTATCCTTCCTGCCTTGAGCCGGGTCAGAGTTTCATCACTGAGGAAGATGATGCACGCAGTGAGTCTAGCACTGAATGGGACTTAGACGGATTCAGTGAGCTGGACTCTGAGTCAGGAAGTTCAAGTTCTTTTTCTGATGATGAAGTCTGGGTGCAGGTAGCCCCTCAGCGAAATGCACAGGATCAGCAGGGTTCTTTGTAAATATTTTGAAACACTAAGATATTTCTACTGCTATGGAATGTATCTTAAAAAGATATTCTCTCCTTTTTCTTGGAAAAAAAAAAAGGTGATTAGGACCGCAGATTTGGTTTAGAAAGGGTAATGTTTGAATTACTCACATAATGTTACAAAATTTAAACAGTACACAAAATCAATCTGTATAATAATTTACTGTGCTAAAAGTTGAGATTGAAATATGCAAAAAGTGAGCTATATAATTGATTAGAATGGTTGGTGGTTTTTTTCATTGTTCAGGTATTCATTGCACCAGTGGAGTGTTTTGTTTTGATTCGTTACGCTAGTTTATATTTTGATTATCTAATTTAGTCTTCTGTTAACTTTTTAATTCTACTTAGTGCCACAAAGAATTTAACTTCTTAATTTTTATAATAGAAAATTGGACTAGAAATTGTTGGTACCATTTTGAAAGTTTATGTTTTCCTTCAAAATAACAAAAGTAGCGGATTCCCCAAATTTTAAATTAGTCAGTTTTTAATATTCTAAGTTCGTATAGTTTGTTAAAATTTGGTTTGGTTTTTTTTCCCTTTTGCAAAGAAAAAAATTGGACATGTATATATTAAGTTCATAAAATAGTGATTCATTTGGGTAACATGAAGAATGGTCTTAAGAGCTCTCAGAAAGTAAAAAAAAAAATCAGGATTCCACTGTTTTAAAAGAAATTTCACTTTTAATTTTGCAATATAAAATGTGTTTTTGCTAAATGTGACCATTTTTCTATCTTAACATCCAATTATTTAAACACCCTTCTAAACCAAACACACTAGGTAACTCCTTTGTAAGTTCCTATTTTTCATCTATACCTGATACATGCTTCGTTGAATCAGAGGAACAGTCCTTTTTTTCCCTGGACATATGATTGGGTAATGTAAATTTTTATCCATTGGTCATGCCTTGTCTTAAAAGTTTATATGCTTTCCTAAAGTATTTTGGCTGTATAGGTTTGGTGTTTGTCTTAGAGGATTCTTCAGCAGGAAGTGATTTATTCTTTACTGTTTTGTCAGGTAATATTGGTTTAGAAAATATGTATAAACTAAAAACAGTATTTTATTGAGATCCCTAGTTATTGTGTCCATCAACTATAAAATCAAGTGCCACCAGAAAACTTTAAAACTTTAAGCTGTATATAAAACTGTTTTGTGTAGCATTGAAGTATTCTGTCAGATTTGTAAGTCACTGGAAATGATTATCAGCTTGAAGTTACTTTTGTATTAAAAGTGGACAGTTAAACAACAGTGGATGATGGCATTTGGGGCCAGTAGTGAAAGTATGTTTCCTCTAAAATATTTCCCTAAGCAGTGGCATACATGTTTTTTTATTACAGTATTTGTATTTGTATTGCTCTGTAGTTCTCTGTGAACCATGCTTGGGTCTTTTTTGGATTGTTTTGTTTTGTTTTGTTTTGTTTGTATCACCATAGTGTAAGGGAAAGTCCAGAAATAGAGACTAAATCACACAAAATTGACATTGTTAAATACAAGAACATATAGGTGCTTACCTTCTGAGGGTCTGTTAATACATATGGTTGTCACGATCCATATACATGAAAAATGGTGTACGTATACAGATGCTTATGGTCTGTATGTTTTCCTGTACCCACTTGGAATTATCTTCTTGAAATCTTTGTTCAGTAACATGCTAATTCCTCTTCCATGTTTATTCTGTAGTGACCAAATGCTGACATTTCTTACACCCTGGCAGAGTACTTAGGAGTGTGCTTCTGGATGGGGAACCGAATTTTGAATGAGAAAAGAGAGAGGAAGAGAGAAAAAGATTTTAAAAAGCCAAACACACAAAGTTTTCGTAGCCATTTTGATTGGCCACTTGAAGAGTCCACAAGACTTTCCTGTTTAACGTTATTTCTGGTGAAATAAGATTCTTGCCCTAGCATATGTGTTCCTTCAAATAGCAGACATGCTGTAGTGGGCAAAGGCTAACTTGTCCCATTTGATATCAGGGACATTTTAGGCACTGCTCTTAACATAGAAAGCTGTTTCTTAATAGTGTTGTTTTTTGGCCAACTTTTCTTTACCAGTAACTTCTTGTTGATAGCTTTTTCTTTTGTAAGGTTGAAATAGGACAGTGCTTATCTTGACCAGATTATCCATTGGCAGAATTAAGGTATGCAACCAATTGATAATAGACGAATTCTCTTATTTGCTCTTCTCAACCTTAAAGTTAGGTACAAGCTAATTAATAGTCATATCTTGGGTTACAAAAAGGTTTTCTTGGGAAGTTTTGGTTTCATGAATATTTGTCAATTAGGGAATAGGTGTTAACCATTATTTTATAGATAAATGTTTTGTACATGGTTAGTTACAAATAAAACTGGCAGTAGAACCCAGGCCTTCTGACCTCTTAATTTAGTGTTTCTGCTAAATGTATAAAAGCCTTGTTTATCCAGTGAGTGACACAACCAGCAGTGTTGAAACCCCTTCTTGACAGGAAAGTACCTTTGTCACAGTTTTACAATTAATTGGCACATCATTTAGCAAATGCTCAGTACAATGTTGATTACAGGACTACTATTTTTAAGGTTTAGAACCATCTTATTTTTTGTATCTGTGTGCCTGTAGTCTGGAAAGCTCAGAGAACCCAAATTATTTCAAATACTTTTAAAATTCAAAGAATAAGTAGCATTGGTGTTTTTAAAAGAATAAAATAAAAGACTAATTTAGCAAATGATTTGTTTAATTTGCATTTAGAATTAAATTTAAGTTCTAGTTCCCTTCGAGCTCCTCTAGTTGAGCAGTGTTTTTTCTGTTTTGTACCTGGCTCTTAGTGAGAATCTGATGAAAGCTTTTGACCCATTCCCCAGAAAAATGTACATGCTCCTGTTTTCACAATTTCAAGGGTATTATGACACTTTTGAAGTTCATCCACACATCTTGGGTAAGAACACTTGTGACAGAGTCCCAAGAATACTTCTACAAAAAGGAGCTGACATTGCTGAAATTCAAATTTTTTTGTGATGAGTAACACAAAAATGAGTAAATGTAAGTGATTTAAAGAAATGAATCAAATGAGCTAATGTATATGAAAGTTTTTCAACTTGAAGTGTTGTACATATATGTGATATGAGTATTGTCTAGGAAGGCTGTGTATATATTAGAATTTAAAGCAAAATTTGGTTCCTGATGTTTCAAACTGCCGCCACCATAGCTGTTTATTAGACATGTATCTAAGTAGCAAGAGTTCTTCTTCTCATAAAGAGCAGGTAAACAGGAGGTTGGAAACAGGCATCTACCCATAAAGAATCTATTTAAAATTTAATAAAAAAAATAATCAATTTGCTACTCACTGCTCATTAAACTAGGAACCAGTGCTTTGCCTGATGTCATTTTTACCAATTTGTACTGAAATGAGGAAAAAATATAAAATGTGATGTAAACTAAAGTTATTTCATTTGTTTTAATGTTCATACATTGGAAATATAAAAAGTTTGCAGCTCTAGGTCAGTCCCTAAACTTTAAAAAGTTTACTTGTCTTTGAAATCCTAAAGTGTGATAACCAGAATGTAGACAGTGACGTGCTTTAGATTTGAACTCTTGGAATCGTTTTATGTTGGGTGCTTCTTAGCTGTTTTATGTTGCCTCTATCCTCATCAGATCTCTCCCATGTGTTCCTAAAAACTTCAGCACCTTCTCATCATTACAACTAACTTTAGAATAATATTCATTATAGCAAATATGAAAGTATTAGGAGACAAAATTATTTATAGAAAATATGACTAGCAATCCTAAAAGAATTAATTGATAAGCTGTTTTTAGAACCATCAAGATGGTTAAATATATACAAACCAGCTGTTTTTTTAATTGAAGAATAAAAAAAATATTCACAGAAAATGCCAAGTCTTAGAATAACCAGATAGACAATAGGTTTGGTGCCCTCTCCTTGACTCTGGGCCATTTTGTGACCTGGATCTATTCCATCAGCTCCTGTTCCTCAGTTCTTTAACCTTGTGGACTAAACATGTTCCAAGACACTGGGAGTACAGGGACAGGCATTGTTGCATAGCATTCTATCCATTTTTGACACGTGTTTTCTCAGAAACCATCCTAGTCTGTGGGCATTACCTCTTTTCAGTGGAATCAACCTTTTATATTCTCACCTCCAAGGCAATTTTAGCTGCTTGGGACAACCATATCTTAATCAGGAATATGGGGGTCAAACTGTTCCTTAATTCTGAGGAAACTAGCAAATCGCTAGCAAAATCTAGCAAATGGCTCTCACTTCGAGGCACAGCATGATCCAGAATCTCGATGTCCTTATGGCTTTCTTTGTGCAGAGAAGATATCACAGGGCAATGGTTTCCTCTCACTTTATATGCTAGTTAGGGTCTAGGTGTGGTTGTATATACAGAGACCCTATAGTTTTTTTAATAAGAGAAGTTTCTTATATATAAATCCAATCTGTTATGTTGGCCCTGATCTTTTGTCATTTTCTGTGGGGGAGAACCTAAGCATAGCACTACATCCAGCTGCGAGGTTGACTGGGAAACATTGTCATTAGATGGGTAGCTATGTGTCCAGCTAAATCTCAGGGGATTCTATTACTAAATAGATTAGTAAGCTAATATATTTTAATATAGACACATCCAGGACTCCTGTATTCAAACGCAAACAATTCACAACACCATGCAGGCTTCATTGCTATGATGGTCATTTCAAATCTCCCCAATCCTCCTTCCATAAATAATTCACAGCCAAAAGTTAAATTCCATGTAATGCTGAACAATGATTTTTCACAAAAAAATGCACCTCCACGTGCCTTTAACACACACACACAGGAACACTTGTCGCATCCTTGCCATTAAGTCCTATCTCAGTCCAAGTTTTCCTAGCAATGGCAGAAATTAAGCCTTCGGAGTGTCAGGGTTCTCTCCCTAAATGCTTAAACTCTTTTCCAATCCCCTCTTCTCCTCTGGGAACCTACCAGCTTAGCCCTCTCACTCATCCCACACCC